AGTTTTTAACTGGTTGTAAAAGATGGTCTTAATTATTTTCTGATGCTTGTAGTAAAATACAACATGCTTGTGGCTATATTTTTTGTGCTCATAAACAAAGTAGAATTCGTGAATTTGCTCAACAATGTGCTAGTGCTGGCCTTCCATTTAGAAAAGTTCCAAAAGATATTTGTACTAGGTGGAATTCTACTTATGAAATGCTTACAGTTGCTTATGATTATCGGGTGCCCATCCAAAAGGTATTTAATATGCATAATGCTTACCCTGTTGATCAAGTTGTTGATTCTGATTGGGATGAGATCAGAGAGCTTACTAAATTTTTAGAAATTTTTTATTATGCTACAAAATAATTTTCTGGTATATATTATCCTACTATTACACAAATATTATGGCATATTTGTGGAATTTCTGTTGTATTTGGTAAGTATAAAAAAAATCCAACTTATGCACCAGCCATTAAAGAAATGATTTTAAAATTTAAAAAGTATTTTTTCCCTATTGCCGAAGTTTATTTAATTTCTACACTACTTAACCCATCTTTAAAACTAAGAGGTGCAAAGGGACTTGTTCGTAAAATTTATGAGAATTTAGAAATTCAAAAAAATGAACAACCATCTCTCGAAAACTGCCAAGCTAGCATATATTCTTATGCTAGATCAATGTTTGATAAATATAAATCTATGGATACAACTAGTACTGAAACTGCTCCTTCTACTTCTAAGTCTGGAGCAGAAGTTTTATGGGAAGATATGGATGATATAACAGGTTTTGATTCCTCTATTGATGATGAACTTGATTCTTATCTTAATCAAGGATTGAAAAATATTAAAGACGAAGAAGGCAAGGAACAACTTTTGTCATGGTGGAGGGAGCGTGGCAAGGCTTTTCCAACACTTTCAATTATGGCCCGAGATATCCTGGCTATTCAAGCATCATCAGTAGCATCGGAGAGTGCTTTTAGCGCGGCAAGATTTCAAATTGGAGATCATAGACATTCATTAGCGGAGGACAGTCTAGAGATTTCCGTCTTATTCAGAGATTGGATTAATTCAGAAAGAAGAAATCTTGGTTTTGAAAAACTAACCACTAGGGAAGAAGAAGAATACAATGAGATACTTACCACTGGGAGCGATGACGGCATGGAGCTCATGGAACATCAATCAACATTGCCAATTCCAGTAGAATGTCCAAGAGATATTATTGATAAGTTACAAAGAAGCTATATAGGAGCTTACAAATATTAGTATGATAATTTGTAATTGGCTACTAAGAGGCCTAGTTCAAACAGAACCCTTCCTAGAAGGTGGCTGCGTAGAATAGGTGCTCTTCAAAAGAATTATATTTGTATTTGAGATTTGAAAGTTCTATTAATAAAATAAAAGGCTCTAAGCGATGAATTATTTTTATGAATTGTCTTAGTTTCTTAATACTTAATACTTTGAAATTATATTAAATAAATTATAACTCTATTATAAATTTATATTTACTAGATTATTTCATTACAAGTCTTTTGTTTTAATATTTTACAATGCTTTACTTAGTTTTCTAATTTTCTTTTTAACATACTAACATAGTAACATTTAAGTTTATTAAATAAGTCAAAAATCTAGTCGTTGCAAACTTTAAAAACATAGTAATTTTCAAAAAATAGACGTTTTTTTATTAAAAAAAATACACTTAAGACCCACGAACCCGTCCCGTCCCGTCCCATCCCGTTTGTTAGCGGGACGGGATGGGACGACCGTTTCGTCCCGTTTGTCCCGTCCCATTTCGTCCCGTCCCGCCACCGTCCCGCTTAAATGTCGTCCCGTCCCGTCCCGTCCCGTTAATTTCGTCCCGCCCCGTCCCGTTGGACAGCCATATTTTAAACAATGACAAAACTTTCTGAAACCTTAACTCTTTCCCTTACTTTTCTTTTGATTTGATTGGGGAATAGCTCTCAGTGGACAGCTGGGACTATTTTGGAGCTTTTATCTTTTTCTTTTTGTCTTAGCAATAAGTTTGTGGTTTCTTCCCAAGAAAGGAAAGGAAACGTTGTTAAGAAAAGTAAAATTGTAGTGCTTCTGTGCAGAAGCGAACCCGTATGGTGCGCTCATAAACTGTCTTCGAACCCAGAACGCTTACCACTGAACCCAAAGCCCTTTTGTTACTGGGTTCGCCGTTCTATAATTATATCCTTTCGATAAATTTTTCAATGCAAATACAAGGTCCGAGAAAAAGTCACTAGGTTCGCCCGAACCCACACTCACTACTGTAGCTCCGCCCCTGCAAGAACATGTGACCTATAATGCACTTGCCAAACATTTATTTATTCTTTTGAATAGGAGAAACTTATTTAAGGACGCAAAACTACCTTGCAGATCAAGTTGAACCGTTCTCCTTCTTTGATCTCTTTGAAGGAATTTAAATCAGTCAAACCTATCAAGAAAATGAAGCATATCGTGAGCACAAAGAAAATTGTAAGCATATTAGAATAGAAAATCCAAACAACAAAATAAAAGGAGAAAAAAGTAAAATAAAATAAAAAAACACTAGCAGAATATAAAAAGTATCTGCTTTGTTCTCCTTTTCTTTCTTGTTTTTCCATTAGTTTTATAGGGAACTTAGGAGGAAGGAATCGATTCTGTGATTTGATCAATTATTTAAAGCAAAAACAGATGTTTCAAAGAGTAAGCAACGAATGAAGGATTAAGTTGATATAAACTGAGATTATGCACCGTTACAAAGATTATGAGCCGATACAATGTGCCTAAAATCAGTTAGAAATTACCTCTTAAGAAAATGAGAGAAAAATATCAAAAGACAATTGAGAGAAGAGATAAATAAAATTGCCAAGTACCTGCTTGTTATAGATTCTATAGATCATAACATCGAGATTCTGTGGTGAATAATAGTCTTCGTATCATTTGCATTTGTTATCCGGTGTTAATCATATCAAGATATGTGATGTCTAAAGTTGAATATCATTCAAGAAGCGACATGATAACACAAGGGAAATATTACCTGATCATCATGAATCCCTCCACTAAAAAATAAACATAATAAGAATAATCCATCAAGAATCACTGAACGCCCTTAAAAACAGATAGTTCATGCAAAAAGTCAGTACACTCCATGCTTTTGTCGTGCAAGGGGACTCCCCCCATAGTCATATATTGTATGTTTCTTCCTTTTCTGTTCCTTTTTTTCTGGAGGGGTGGAGGTTGGAGGGGCCAGGGGTGAGATCCAGCTAAGACAAGAACTTGCAAACATATGGAGTTAACAAAGCATTTCTGCTAAAGGAATTATATAACATACATACACACTAGCCTCAAGTGACAACATAAGATCAAGTAACAGAGTCGTTCATCTCTGCCCTGCTTCGATAACGGCGTTGTGGTTTATGGGACACAATGTTATTGTCACCTACATGTGCTTCCATATCTTCATCCATTGGATCTCCACTTTCTTGAGCCTCTAAAGCGGCAATGGCAACAGGAAAGCCTTTTGGGTGCAAGGATTCATTACAAGCATCTTTAATCATTTCCTTTGACGCAGTTGCATCCTTTGCTGCTATAGCATATGAGTTCTTCTGCCTAGGCACAAAGGCTACTGATTTAGGATTAGTAGCTGACACGTCCCTAGTTTCTCGTGCCAATTGATCATGCTTCAACTTCTTAACCTCCTCAAGAAGGTATACGCAAGCTTGAATATTTGATTCATCATCAAGCTTGCTAGGAGAATCCAAACTATAGTGAGTATATTTTGAAGGGTTGAGAATATGATCAGGAACATTCGGCCTACTGTTGTCAAGAATAGATTCATTTTTTTGCGAACTAGAATTTGCTGCTGCAGGAGCTGCCAAAGAAACTTCTAGCTCTGAAGCCCCTTCACATTCATTTTTACAACTAGGATTAAACCTGACTCGTTTCGTGGACTTGAGCTCACCATTCTCAGATTTCCTTGTTCTTTTCAAAATTGGCTTCACCTTACTATGAACCTGAAGTGGTTCAGTAGACTGCTGCTCACCGCATAGGGTGATACCATCAAAATGAGTTTCACATTTCACAGCTGCATCAGCATCTTCCTTCAGCCTAACTTGTGCAGCCATATGATTTGCACGTGCGTCTCTACGGATGTTACGTCCTGAAGGATCATAAGATGTGTCCTGATCAACAATGTTCTTCATGTACAAGCGATCAGCAGCACCCACTCTGCCTTCCGCCACTCTATCATATTCATCTTCCTCGTCCTGGAGAAGCAATCAAGAAGGATCATAAGTCTCAAACAAAACCAAAAAAAAAAGTCTCTTTTAGGGCCTGCAAGACAATTGGGGGTCGTTTAGTGTGATGGATAAGCAAAATTAATCCTGAGATAAAAATTTAATACCGCCTTATCCCTTGTTTGGTTACTAATTTATCTCGGAATTAAAAATAGTACCGAGATAACTTATACCTGCCAGAGGATGGAATAGTAATTCCAGTATATGTTATCCAAGGATAAGCAGTAAAATTGCCAATGCCATGATTAATACAACATACCAACCGGTCAACAAGAAATAATACCAGAATAACTAATCCCAGCATAACTAATCTTAGCATAACCTGTCATTAAACCAAATGACCCCATAGTACTCCTCATACTAGTGTGAGGGTATTCAATGCTTAACATTTGGAATTTATGGGTCCCATCTTCTCATTACTTCGCCCCTTCTTTATCTGTGCATCTTCCTGTTCTGACCAGTTCACTCTCCACAACTCTTTTTTTTTAAAATTCCCATCTTCTCCTTCAGCTTTTTTATAGCAAACAATTTTCAAATGCTTATTCCACTATTTTTTGCAGAACTTTTTGTTTTGCATGTAGTATGCTTATTTTAGGGTTTAAAGTAGGTGCCGGAAAACTGATGCCGAAGCAGCATCGCGGACCATCTCCTCTGAGAGCATTCCTCAAATATCGGATGACAAAGACAAGTTAGGCTAAAGTATTATTTATTTCTTCTTCCTCATAGACACCCCCTGCTCTTTTCTTGTTTCTCTCTTTCTTTTGCTAGCCAAATTCAAACTCAACACCAGTATGCAATTTGAAATCAGAAATGGGAGTCCGGCAATGCCTAGCATATTTATTCTTTCTCCATTCAATTATTTGAAGGAAATTTTGAGGTGGTTATTGTGGGAATTTGAATTGTTTTGGAGAAGTTGAGAAGTAGGTAGTGAAACTGAAGTAATCTTGAAAAAATTTGGTCTAAATTGGATGGAACTAGACTGTCTTTTCTTTCATTTATTTGATGTAGTTGGATTTTGATGTGAAATTCAGGAGAGACAAGTAAACTCTAGTACTCTAGTAGCCAAATATTAGCAGACAAGATTTTCCACCCTTTCACCCACCAATACATGGTTTAAGAGTTGATGAAAAACAGAAGGAAAAAAAGAAGAAGTAAAGAGCATGGCGTCGGAGAAGAGGAATAAAAAGGAAAAGAAGAAGAAGAACAGTGAGCGAGAATTGAGGAGGAGATGGGATGATATGGACGTTATGGGTCACACATTTTACTCAATTAAATATACCCCTCACACAACTAGTAAAAGTTCTCACACCCAAAATAAAATTTCTCACTCGTATCGCACAGACCAAGAAAGTGGGTATATAGGACAAACAATACCAGCTATCCAATCGGTGAAACAAGGAACCAAGCTGTGCTCCCAAGAATAAGGAGAAGGAGAAAGGAAGTACTATTAGCTATTGAAAGGGAACAAGTATGATATGCAAAATTGCCCAAAATAATGAGGAATCAATTATGAGAAATTTCCTTACACTAAGTTCTAGATTTCAAGAAAAAGAAAACAAAAATGGTAAAGATTTTGCTAAGTGAAACGAGATAAGCTTAGAGCACATGAATAACTGAAATTAAAGAAGTAATGGTAGCTTCCTGTGGCAATCTTACATTTTTGACAAGGAAATACCCCCATCTACATACTAAATAGCAAGGAAAGAATGGATGGTCTTCGAACACCAAAATATACAGATTGTGTCTAGTTCTCTTGAAGTTCCGGGACATTGAATTAAGTAGAACAGCATATATATGAACCAAAGTGATACTTCTCAAAGCATATTCACTGTCAAACACAAGTGCACAGACCATACAAACATAATTGCAGTATAGCCAAACATTGCAATTAAAAAAATCATAGAATTACAAGTACATAATCTTTCTCCAATAAAAGACACAGTAAATTAATCTTTGTTTAGAATCTCAGTATCAAGCAGTAGCTTTAAAAGAAAAGTTTAGTAAAACAATGACGTCTCTGATCCTCTTGCAATAATGTATTTTGTTACAGCAAGGATTGAGGCCCGTCCATGCCTGAATTAGCCCCTATTGGGGTAATATGGCTGCGCTCTTGAAGCTGGAAATTCAATACCAAAAGGGAGAAAATAACTTGTGTGATTTATTTGAAGAAGTCTTACCTACTTTTATACCTAACGAAACAAACACCAGATATACAAAACGCCCATAGTTTAGTTCAAATCAAAATTAAGAAATACAAAGTTCAATGTATCACAAAAAAAGGAGTGCATTTCAAATTTTGATGGTAATGGGAGTCCAATATAAATTGAATTAACTTCTCACACTACTAGGACAAGTAAAAAATGAATTTCATGTAATTTTCTTATAACAGACATAGATTAGTAATTTGTGTAGAAGTACCTTCGATGTCAATATATAAAAATTAGAATCCATATAAAGTACCTCATTATCAAGCGTGGGATCCAAGCCAATGGAGGATCTGATTTCCCAAACATCATTAGGGTCCTCAAAACGACTTTCCTCATCATTTGGATCATTTTGGAGCCCTTGAGTGGTGATGTTCCTCCTGCGATTTTGTTTGAATAATCCATCATATGACGAAGAACAAAGGGTTTGGTCATCATCCACTTTCCCTCGCTTCAGTGCGCTTCGGTTCCACTCTTTCTTCTCCACTTCATCGTCTGTGAGAGACCACGCCGACGACGGTGCTGATGAAGGGAGAGCGCCGAAAACTTTGTGTACACGGGCTCTGAAGCTGTCATCGTCCATGGCTTTTGAGCTGAATAATGTGTTGTACTCTTTTAACTGTTGTGGTCTTGCTTTTACTTTAGGTTATACGCACCGCTTGGGATTAGATTGTACGGAAAAGGGTCCCTCTATCATCAATAGTTTAAAAAAGCCCTCCCTTATAGTATTAGGACATCCAAAACCCTAACGTTATACTATTATACATATATGCCCTTATTTTAACGGAAAGTACGTCATAAGTCAATTGATGTAAGCTCGGAAATGAGATCCTCTTTGAAAGTATATAAAGTGATTTAATATTGTTACACCCCGTACTTCAGACGTCATTGTCATTATAGGATTATCTAATGTAAACTTAAAAAGGACGAAATCCTTCTACAAGGATAAAAAAGGTTTAGCGAAGTCTCAAGTAAGTTAAGATGAATATGAGACTTGTTAATCATGATTTAAATGAGTTTAAAGTCATGATATGACTATATATTATGTTTGGATATGAAATATAAAGTTTGGGAATAATCGGATTTAAGTTGCGGAAAAACCGACTAAGGATTTGCCTTGTAATGAAGCGTTTTGAGCAATACATTTCATGTGTTATATGAGGTCTTTTTGGGACATATTATACCAAAATGAAGGTATTGGAACCTAGTTTCTAACGGTCCAACCATTTGTTCATACGACATCGGGGTAGAGAAATATGAATTTTTAAAGTAGGGACGCCAAGTCACGTCGCCGCACTTCGGAGAAACTGGCAGGTTTATAGGCCAGGTTGCGACGCACTTTTCTTCCAATATATTGAGAGATACAGGGAGATTTTTATATATAATTGAAGCCCCATGTGTCTAGTTTCTAACTCTGAAAATCGTTTGTCCATATGATATCGGAGTAGAGAGATACAATTGTCCGAAGTTGCACTACTCAAGCTGCCAAGCAGGCAGTTTACCCACCTGCTTGGAGAATTGAGGCGGTGGGCTTATAAGTGGTCTTATCCCCTTATATCTCTTCAAAAATACAGATATTACTTACACCAAAACACTCTCACGCTCTCCAAGAACTGGTCCAAGAAATTTCAACCAAGATCAACATCCCTTTCACAAAATCAAGAAGCGATAACATTAGAATGATCCCTATGATGTAAGTATCATTATACCGCCTCTCTTTTTCTTTGTAGATTGAGTTTTGGAAGGTAATTCATAGTTAATAAAACACCTACTTTCTGTATTTAAGCTTTTAAATATTAAAAAAGGTTGATAAATTCCTATCCTAATAATTAGAACTCACGGGACCGTGATCGGAAGCCGTGAATTCGATTTATTTCACTTTTAGTGGATTGATTTGTAGTCGACTCATGATGGCCTATTGTGCTACTGATTTATGTAGTTTGGAAGGATGAAGGGCGTGGAGAAACGCCACATGTGGTAGGGTAGTAGGCTGGTCGCTCGTCGTTGCAATTTTAGGCTAATTGATAACTTGTTGATTGGGTTTGTTATGGTATATTTGGTTTTTTTTGTATTAAAGGTCCTGAATTATAGTTAGGTTATTTTTGAGTTTCTGGTTGTATTGTGTTGTTATCTCGCCTATAGTAGGCTTAAGGGAGCAGTAAAATCAGGGGAAAATGCTGCCCGTTTTATTTTAGAATCAAGTTATCGTTCGACATACGTGATATACTAGCGCCATCTAAGTTGTGCATGTATTTCTTTATTATAGGGTTGGCGCGCTAGTTGTCATAAGCTTGTAGTTGAGTTGCATTGACGACTTGAGGTATGTTAAGGCTATCTCTTCTTTCCTTTTGGCATGATCCATATGATACAAACGAAATGAGCAAACGCACAACTTTCATAAATGACTCTATTCATAGAAGTACTAGGGGTTCCTATGTTCTTGATTCCCCATGTGTCTTATTATTATATCTTCTATTCATGGGTCTTAGAAAAATATGTAGTTGATAAAGTTTATCAGAAGGCATATTGATCTTATGATACTCCGAGAGATCTTATTGACTTACTTCTTATACATTACATTCATTTATACATGTACATTGACCCATGACCAGATGGCGTTATATATGCGTATATTATATGTATAAGGGGTATGGGGAAAGGTTATGACGTTATATACGCACCACCACCTGATCAGCTGGTATACGTTGATGATTTCGCCCACAGTGGCCGAGAGGATATGATGGGATGCCCTCAGAGGCTTGATGATGCTATGAACACATATACCTATGCATGGTATGACATTTATATACATATTCAAGACATTTTAAGTTTTTCATGATTCACAGAGCTATTTAGACTTACAGGTCGAGTTCTTTACTCCATGTTTCTTTCATGTCTTTTATATACTTTCATGCCTTACATACTCGGTACTTTATTTGTACTGACGTCCCTTTTGCCTGGGGATGCTGTGTTTCATGCCCGCAGGTCCCAATAGACAAGTTGAGATGCCTCCTAGTAGGCTATCAGCTCAGCAGAAGGTTTTTGTGCACTCCACTTGCTCCGGAGTTGCCTATTTGGTCAGTATGATTTAGACATATATTGGTTGGTATGGCGGGGCCCTGTCCCGACCTTTATGACATTTATGTACTCTTAGAGGCTTGTAGACAGATGTCATGTATATGAAAGATTGTATGTCCTTGTCGGCCTATGTTCAGTGTACGAGTGATCATTTTGGTCTTATAGACTCGTATGCCATGTGTATAAGTTTATATTACATGTTAGGTCGTCCTATGTCGAGTATTCCCTTTTGTTTTATTTTGGTTATCTCATGACGCCCCTTCTGGCCCATTTACCCACAATGGTATGATAAGAAAGATATGTTATGTTGGTACTCGCTTGAGTAAGGCACCGGGTGCCCGTCGCAGCCCTGCAGTTTGGGTCGTGACAGCATTTGCGAATCCCAGGTCGCATTTGCGACATCCGCAGCTGTTCTATAGTGGGATTTCGGGACTTAGTCTCATTCTATCACATTTGGAGCCCTAGAATCAGTGGGAAGCGATTTTAGGAGAATATTTTCATTTCAACTATTGGGTAAGCGATTTTGAATCAATTTTATTATATCACATTATTATATATTAAATTTAACATCCAAATTATGGTATTTGAAGAGAAATTTTGGGGATTTTTTACTATATTTTGAAAAATATAAAAATTTGAGATTTGAGAGTCGAATTAAACCCGGATTTGAAAACTAAACATATATGGACTCGTGGGGTTATGGGTGGTCGAGATCTACCTTTCGACTCAGATTTTGTCTCGGCAAGCTTGGAATTGACTTTTGTTGACTTTTGGAAAATTGTGTAAAGATCTCAAATTTATTAATCGAAATTGGTTTCTCCCACATTGTTTGATACTATTAAGTCATTATTTGAGCCGAGCGGAGGCAAATTTTAAGAGAAAAGCATTTTTAGAGTATTGAATTGGCCTAGTTAAGGTAAGTATGTTGCCTAACTTTGTGTGGGAAACTATCCCTTAGGATTTAGTCTAATTACATTATTTGTACTATAGAGAAATGACAAGTACATAAGGCGACAAATGTGTACATGAGCGTATGTGTGTTAATTGGCCAGATTAGACCATAGGCTATTAATATGCCTTGATTTGGAGTTGTTTGTTATATGAAGCATTTTTCATTGTTGATTCACTCCCCGAACTCTTGTGTTATTGTTGTGATTCTCTTACACTATGTTGTTGAGCCGTGGACTATGTACTATTGCGGCTTTGGTAATTTTGTTTGGGCGATGTTGTGGCGTATGTGCACGTATGGTGCAGGTAGATTGTTGTGTTGTGAATGAGATGTGAATGCAGCAACATGATGGTGGTGTGTATTGATGCGTATGCAGCGAGATAAAGGGGCTTATACGCGTGTTACAAGTAAGGGGAAATGCTTCATTGTGATCCACACGCAGCGAGATAAGGGGAATTATGTGCGTGTAGCTATGTAAGGGTAAATATTTCATTATGAAGCTTACGGGACGTCGTAATGGTGATTTATTATTATGTTATGTGGTGCTTTAAGGTGATTCTTAATGTTATTCTTGTGTTGGCGGGTTAATGATTTGAACATGTCATTGTTTTCCTAAATGATTTCACTTTGTGTTTTACGTATTTTGGTTAATTTTCGTGTTATCACATGCCTATTCTTTGTTACTATTTATTTGGTCATGTTTTCTGTTGTTAGTTTTATGTTGATATCATGCACATATTATTTTTCTAGTGGGTGTCTCGGCTTGAAACTCGTCACTACTCCACTGAGGTTAGTCTTGATACTTACTGGGTACCGATTGTGGTGTACTCATACTAAACTTCTTCACATTTTTGTGTAGATCCATGTATCTCTGAGCGTGTTAGTCGTTAGTCAGCCGATTCCGAGTTGCTGTGGAGACTTCAAGGTATACCTGTTGTTCTGCTCGCAGGCCTCAGAGTCAGCTTCTATTGTTCTTTATTACTGTTTATGTATTCCAAACAGTGATGTACACTTTGAGACTTATTATGTACTTCTTGTAGAGCTTATGACTCCGGATTATCGGGTTTTGGGATTTGTGATTGTTGTGTTACCATATTGGCTATGTTTTGGACCATTTTCTCAGTTTATTTAATGTTGTTGTGATGTTTTATATGATGTTGTTGCGTGATAGGCTTACCTAGTCTTGGACTAGTGTCACAACCCCAATTTCCCTTCGTAGGATGTCGTGATGACACCTAGTCTCTACGACTAGGTAAGCCTAACATTTAATAATAACTTAACAGAATAATTAACAAAATACTAAAGCAGGTATGATAAACTGATATAATCTTCTAAAATAGAATATCGACAACACACTCCCCAAAACCGATGGAACTGAGTCATGAGCTCTACAAAGTAACTAAAATGTAACTACATCACTGTCTGGATGAAAATACAAGAGGAAGTAAAGATAAAGGAAGGTGAGTTCGAGGCCTGCGGACATGGAGTAGGTATACCTTGAAGTCTCCAAAAACAGCAACTCAAATCAACTCTAGCGTCCGTCACGAGCAGACGTACCTGGATCTACACAAAAGATGTGCAGAAGCGTAGTATGAGTACACCACAATGGTACCAGT